TTGACATAACCCCCATTAATTTCTTTAATAGGGATAGGACCAAAATATTTTAGACCATTTGAGAAAAGCCCATGTTCCAATTCCAGCCACCTATTTTCAAATTTTGCCCCTGGAACCTCATTACCCTATCTCCCGCTTCTGCAAAAACATGACAAAATCAAAAATCAAAAAAAATAAATTAGAAAACTGCAAAACAAACCTTCCCCTGTCTTCCTCCCCCAGAAACTGCCCCACCGTACGCTACCTCCCTCCGCCATAATCGTCTTCTCCCACCGCCATTTCAAGGAAAACGACGTCTCTGCAACCGATTAGGGTTCCGGCTTCGATATAACCAGGAACAACGCCGCCGTTGTCGACTACCCAGGGTTCCGCAACCATACTACTGCGAAGAACCCCTGTCTCCTCTCCCCAGGAACCGCCCTGCCCCACGCTTCCTCCCTCCGCCGTAATCGCCTTCTCCGACCACCATTTCCTTGAAACGACGTCTCTGTTGTCGATTAGGGTTCCGGCTCCGATATAATCAGGAACAACGCCGCAACTGCATCAACGCGAAACAAAAATATCGAACCAAAAAAGAGAATGACGACTAAAGAATGCCGTAAGTGATTATCAGGCTTCTACATTTTATTCAACTATTTAACCTAATTTTGCTGTGCATGACGCCATTTTTTCTCTTTTTATACAGGCGAAAGTAAGAAGAAAGCTAAAAGAGATATACGGGAACTTGATGCTGGTAAGAAACCCCCTTAAAAATTTGAAAATGTTGATGGTCGATTAGTGTGTGATTTGCCTGGCTGTATGCTGATAAAACTGAGGTTATATAATAGTCGATTGGTGTGTGCTGTGTATAGTTGATTTCCTAGCCGTCTAGTCTTATGCTAGGATGTATGTGTGCTGATAACACTATGATTATATCATAGACGATTATTGTGAGCTTTTTATATTCGATTTACTGGCCGTCTGGTCGTATGCTAGATAAATTGATGTATGTGTGCTGAGCACTGTGATTATATCATAATCGATTAGTGTGTGATTTGTATAGTCGATTAATTAGCCTGCTAGAAGACATATTGAAGTATATGTGCTGAGCAAACTACACCTACATCATAGTAGATTAGTGTGATTTGATAGACGAATTTAATTTTATATTGACAACTCTTCTGTTATCTGATAGTCTAACAACATCATTTTCTGTTTACAGATGAAGCAAATTTATTGGTAGACCGTTTACTCAAGGAGGGCTCTTGGACGAGGCAGTACCGTTCAAGTCTGCAATCAACGGTAGACTTCTTCAAAGGTATCGATCTCCGAAAGGAGCATCTCGATTGCCTTAAGCGCACTCCTTTCTACCGCCTCATCTTGCCATTTGCCCTCAAGAAGGCATCATTACACCAAGTCAAAGGCACGCAGAAGGGGGTTGCAAAACTACTGCTGTTGTATGACAAGGCAAAAAACGCATTCGTAATTGGGGGTAAAGAGTTGATTATTACGCCAAATGAATGCGATTTAATATTTGGAATCAAATCCGGCGCAACAAACATCATCACCAGACGAGCCGCAAAACCAGATTTTGGGCTTGTTGTGCGTCAATACCATGATCACGACAGGCTAAAATTGTACAACGTGAAGATTGAACTCCTCAAGTATCTTCGGAGCACCGAACAGGAAGACATTGAAGATGTTGTACGCATGGTCATCCTGCACGTCCTGGCAACATGCTTCTTTGCGACAGCTGGCGAGCTCGTTAATTGGTGGATCTTCCATTTATGCAAAGACATCGATGCCATGGCGGTTTACAATTGGGAGAAGTGCGTAGTTGATTTCCTTATTGACTATGTCCAAAATATAGAAAAAGTAACGCAAGTTAAGGGATGCACCACACTGTTACAGGTACGAAAAATTACACACTTGCATTAACCGACTATGTAAATTGTTTATAAAATAGCTGATTAAGATATTTACTAATATAATCTTTCTTTTTGTAGTTCTGGATCTGTGAGAGGATTAAACTGATTGAGTCTTTACAACCAATGCATTCCGAAGGTTCCGAAAATGGCATCTGCCAACCCTCGGCAATAAACTTGAGAACTTAGCTATCAGGGACATACTTGACGCCGACATTGACGACCATGAGCTCTTCATAAGGGAAAGAGAGTCACAAATCCATACTATGCAGGATCAAGAGCACGTCGATTATGATTTGGAAGAAAATACAGAGGACAAGGAGGGCAATGCTGACAGTCGTATTGGCAAACGCAAGAGGGATGCAGAATCAGATCAAATGTTCGATGAAGACACACCACTTGTTGCATTGATAAACAGGATTCCAAATAACTTCATGAAAAAGTTGAAGGAGAAGGAGGTACAACAGGTCAAGCTGTCGGCGGACCTTGCTGTAATGACTGTGACCGCGCTACAGTTCCAGAAAATGTCGGAAGACTTGGAAGTAAAAAACAACATACTCAGGGAGCATCTAGCAAGAAAAACAGAGGTGGAAAAACTGAGTCCAACATCATCGGCACCAAAGCTGCAACAGACGCAAGAACAACTCACGGATGAGATCGTAAAGACCATTGATTTATTGGCAGAAAACTACCCATTGGAAACAGACAACGATCTTTTTGGTGCAACAAATGCGGTGCTGAACGAACAAGTGGATGAACTCAAGGCCAATATGAAGACCCTCACAAAGCAGCATCAAGAGTTACAACAGTCTAACAACGATCTCCGTGCTCAAATGGAAGAGAAAGAAAAACAGAGCCGAACCGACACCATCCATACACCAGATGGCAGCCCCAAAATGGATGATTGTCCATCGTTCACGCTCCTTTCTCCCACTCAGAAGGGACCAGAATCAACCCATGGAGAAGAATTCTCGCAGTTGCCACTAACTGCCATGGATGAAAAGGACCTCGGGATGATTGATCTAATGACGGCAGTGGAATTGTACAAGCAGAACGAGGCTAAACTCTGGAGCAAAGTTCAAGACCAAGAACAAATAATTAATGAACTCACAACTGCCTTACAATCTAGACCACCGCAGCAAAACCCTGCTGAAGAAGATGATGATCAGTTTGATGACGCCGTGAACGAGTTTATGGAAGAAATTGAACCCAAATCCGTTGTCGCTGGGCGCACACGATCAACAAAATCCACCGTCTCACTTAGAACAGTTTTGAAAGTTGCAAAAACATACAAGAATTACACAGCCTACAAGCAGATGTCAGAGACTGGCCAGCAACTGCTCAATTTCATAGCAACCACATCTGGAGATAAAATGGGGTAAGTAACTCTTTGTATTAATCGACTGTGTTATATGAATATTAATCGACCCATACTTATAACCCATAGTCGATTAAATATCTACTTGTTTTTTGTACAGACGACTGTACTGGAGGAGTGCAGATGGCAAAAAAATTGTGCAGATTGAAGACTTGTTTACCATCATAAGGAATGAAATGATCTACAGCGTAGTAAGTAAATTTAAAAAGAATTATTCTAATAAATGCAATATAATATTAATTGCTCTGTTATATTTTCATGAAAAAAAGCCATTAGACTCCTTCTGTGAGATTTTGATGATTGAGCAAGCAAACGGCAAATTCAAACGTGGAGCCCATCCTGACTTGAGTGGGGAAAGTTATGTTTTCCCATGTTTTCTTCTGATAAGACTGTTGCATCGCAAACTAATCAAAAAAAATCACATAATGTTTGGTCGCAAAACACTAATATATATATATATATATATTGTTTCACATAATGACATTAGGCACCCAAACAGACCGGACAGAACGTTCGAGCTACCCCAAAATTTGGACGATCACATATACATTATATTCCCGTTGCATTCAGGTACAAATCCAAACAAGGTGGCCAACCACTTCACTCTGCTTGTTTTCGACAGACTACAAGAAACATGGAGTTACTACAACTCGTTGCGTCCGAGAAGGAAGAGTGATGAGATGGATTCCACTTCCGACAAATATTTTATCGACGCATTAGACATGGTTAGCAAAACATAGTATTTAAAAAAGCAAAAAATTTGATTGATATTGTACAATTAACTCTAAATTTCATGTTGCTTATAACAGAAGGAAGCAATGAAGCTGTCAGCTGCAAAGTACAACATAGACGTCAACTTTGACATGCCTATTGTTGACGTGATATCCTCCCCGCAGCAAAATAATGGAAGAGACTGTGGCCTCTTTGTCTTGTACCTGATCAAGCAACTTTTCTCACGACATCCACTCGACACCCCAAAGGACATGAAGAAAGTAATACCAAAGCTGCGTGGGGACCTCGTGGACACATTCTTAAAGTATGGTGGAGACAAAGACTACACCAAACCAGCAAGGAATGCTTGAGAGCTTATTGAAATTTATGTTTTATTGAAAAAAAAAACTAGTAGTGTCTAATAGTCTTTCTTGTATTCAGAACATGTAGGATTCATTAATCGACTATCATTGTTTAACTATTCGACTATTCGACTATCCTTGTTTAACTATTCAGAAACATGTAGGATTCATAAATTTATGTATTGAAATTTATGTATCACTGAAAACATTTTGTCCCCATTTAAATTACTAAAAAACAATACACACAAGTTCACAAAAACACAATCATAAAACCATAAAAAATGTGAAAAACTGTGAACCACATATAATGTTTCACTATTCGACTACTAGGTTTCACTAATCGACTACGTAATTCAATAACAGAATAAAAATTGTCCCATGCTGACACCATTTTGCTCCCTTGTGAAAAAAATCTAAAACCACAATAAAAAACATTTTGTCCCACAGGATAAAACCACAATAAAAACACAAGTTCAAAAGAAACAAACTGCTAAAAAAAATCTTAAAACTATGAACCACATATAATGGTTTCATTAATCGACTATTATTGTTTTACTAATCGACTATGCAGTTCAATAACAGAATAAACCCCACTGTATTTTGTGGAAAAACATCATAAAATTTGAAGGTTCAAGAATAATAAAATCATTTCCGGCATGTTTTCTTGTTATGATTACCAACTTCTTTGCAACGGCTGCATCTCATTTTTCGAGATGTAAACTCCCCATTAGAAGGGATCCTCTTCCGGTTAGGCCTGCCACGCCATGGATGATACTCAGGTGGCCCAATGTCACTATCTGCAACGTCATTATCCAATCTAACAAACGGCACAGCTGAACTAGAATAACTTTGGACAAAAGTTGATGTATGAAACCATTTATCAATATATTCGTAACCACCACCTATTTCTAAGAAAATCACAACAGCAGCGTGTGCACATGGAAGCCTGTTGATTTGCCAAAGCTTACACGAACACACTCTCTCTCGCAGATCCACAACAACATTCGACGTCGATAAAACTTCATACACAGTTTCCGACGACTTTTTAGGTTCCCATGTCCTCCCTTTATCAACTAGCTGTCTCATTTCGGACTCGGTCAGCACAGTTGTCCACCTATTTCCATCCCCCAGTCGATCACTAAGTTGCTCCATCAACAACATTCTAATCCCGTCAATCAAGATAGTAATAGGCAGGTACCGTTTATCGTCAACTTGAGAATTCCACGACTCACACCCATTCGATGTCATTTGACCATATCTCAGACCCTCAAAATGTGCATTTGCCCATTTCTCCTTTGGAATATCATCTAAAAAATTGCACACTTTCTTGCCACCAGTAGCTCTCAACTTTTGAATACAGCGGACAAAATCTTCATTCGTAACCGCATAAGCACAATTTGCAAACTGTGCCAGTACCGCGTCACGAAAGTTTGGAGCAACACCCCTGAACCTGTGCTGCAAAATGCGATTCAAATGTTTGTAACAGTAGCCGTGTAAAGCATCTGGAAAAATTTGCCTAACTCCTTCAAGAATCCCATGGTTACGATCAGAAACAAAAATCAACGACCGGTCAGTCCCAACAGCATCTCGAAAGTGGTTCAAAAACCAAGACCAGTTACAATCAGTTTCTTCACTTACAATTCCAAAAGCAATAGGAAACAGACCTACCAAAAAAAAATAGAAAACATTAATCGACTATGTATATATTATTCGACTGTGCATTAATATTGCATGTTCACAGTTTACCTTCATCACCGTCTTTCCCAATAGCACTCAACAGGATCACCTTGTGCTTACCCTTCAAAAAAGTCCCATCAAGCATCACCACGGGACGGCATGACTTGAATCCTACCAAGCAAGCTGCAAAGGCAAAAAAACATCGGCGGAAAATTCGCTTGGACTCATCAATATCCAAATTGAATATGCTTCTGGGGTTCGTCCCCTCAGCTTCAGCAAAATATGACGGCAGACATGCGTATGAGCTGCTATGGTCCCCGAAAATCCTATTTCGTCCCGCATCAGTAGATTTCCATGCAACAAAATAACTAATCTCAACGCCAAATTTTTTCTTCACCTGTTTTTGAACCTCACGAGGTGTAATACCTGGCATTACCCTAATATCACCTTCTATCAAATCAATTATGACACGCGACGTCATTCTCCTCCTACTTACAGTACCAAAAAACATGCCACATTGATGCTCTTTGTTGTACATTCGAATGTAACAAGAACCATTCGATTTAGAAATAGAAGCATGAATCCTCCACGAACACGGAGCCTCATGTTTAAATCTACACTCAGCAGTCACTCTGTACGACTCATTCTTCACATACGCAAACTCAAATCCCATCTCAACCGAAAACTTAATCAAGCATTTTCTAAATTCATCAACTCCACCCAAAAAAACTTGTCCTACCTCTTTAATCAAATGAACCCACTCAACACTCAACAATTCTTACCAACCGAAGTGTCAACGACTCCCTCAACATTCATCTCATTCACAACCACACTCCTATTGTACTGTGTTACAGGTAATTGAGCATGGTCAACACATAAAGGATTTGCGCCCACCAGAAACCGATTATTCTCTTTCACAATAACCTCAATACACTCTAACGACAACAACTTCATCATATCAAACATCGAAACCATGTCATCATCGTCCGACAGCCTACACTCGCCGTAATCCGCAAGGATATACGTTAACGTAATATTACATTTTTTCAACTGTTTCCATTTAAGAATGACAAATTCCACCAGCTCTTCTAAATTCAAAGATTCCGAACATCTTTTAACTGCAATTAAGCATCCAAACCTCAACAAAATTCTGTGTGAGACATACATCTCTACAGTAAAAAAACACTGTAAATCGACTATGCGCATATTAAAACGACTATGCAATACATAGCAAACAGATCAAGCTCTCTATGTTTACACATAGCAGCTACAAAAAACGGACCAGTTTAACATAATTACACAGATGAACAAACAGAGGCTCTGTTTACATCGACTTTTAGCACAAAAACGACTGGAAATTAGCATGGGATCATCAAAACCACACTACGGGCAAAAACATATACGTAACAATCAAAACCAACAAAAAATTGAAAAATCGAAACGAACGTGATCATTTTAACCCTAAAACACATAACATAATCGACAAAAAACTATTTTTGAAAATCAGTAGGAAAAAATCGAACCGTATGTTTCAATGTCCGTCGCCGTATGTGCAGTTACCTTCCTCGTCTGTTTCAATCTCTGTCGCCGTCGCCGCCGCCACGTCTCCTCGTCAGTCCCCGTTCCACGTCTCCACGTCAGTCGCCGTTGACACGGTGATAAGCAAAGCACAAAAAACAGGGGTTTGAACAGAGACGTGAAACGTGAACAAAAGGCTTTAATAAAAGTGAGGGTGTTTTTGGAATTAAAAAAATATAAATTGGGTTAAAAATTACCTAGGAAGGTTTCTCTAATTATTTTTGAGAGGGGGTGTTTTCTTAACTCATTTTCCTATATGGGGTCTTGCTAATTATCCCCTTATTTTATTGGGAACAAAATTGCAGGTTCTGTCTTCCACCCTACCACTATACATTTTATTTTTTATTATTATTTTATGAATATAATTTGATTGGATAATTTGTTTGTGTGAGTTAAAACTAGATTGTAAAAAAAAATATAGAATAAATTGTGGACTTTAATGATTACATATATCCCTTATCTGGTTAAGTAAGCTAACGAATATTATTTTAAACCACCGGGAAAATAATATATATATAGATATATATATTAGGGGGTCGGAGATATATATATATATATATATATAGAGAGAGAGAGAGAGAGAGAGAGAGAGAGAGAGAGAGAGAGAGAGAGAGAGAGAGAGAGAGAGAGAGAGAGAGGCGTAAAGTGTAAACCACCACAAAGTTACAGAAGATGGAAGTTATTTCATACATACATCATGGATGGAAGTATGGGTACGTACTTCCTACATAAATCATGAAGGAAAGATAGTGGGTATGTTACACCTAGTAAGAAGTAAGTTAACTTCCTTCAATATGGTTAAGATAGGATATCACACATTAGAGCAACTTCAGCAGATGTGCTTTTAGCAAATTTTACAACTTTTATTGAAAATTTGGAGCTCTAGCAGCTCTTTTATATTATAGACCACGTGGCATATTATAACTTCAGCTTGTCAAATTTAAAACACGAAGAGGATGAAATTGCAAAATCAATTTTATAAAATCAAATCACAGTGAAGTTGCACAAGTTCCCAACTCTATATTCACAATCTCTAATTATTTAATTAACACTTAAAATGGGCATATAAAAATTCAAATATAGTTATTTAACTGAAATTTAAATTATTATTATTTCAAATAATTTTTTTTATTATATCAAATATGTGAAATATAATGAGTTAATTGCATACATCCCTTGTGAAATGTCTAATTGCCACAAAAGGCCCCGTGTTAAAACAATTAGCTTTAACCCCCCTTTGATGGGTTTTATTTAGCCCACAGCCCCATATTCAAATAAAATTCGTTGACTGCCATAAAATGACTATAGTACCCTTGTCAAAAACAATTATTCTCTCAAATTATGAAACATACCCCAAAAAAAAATTATATACTAATTAATAAAAATAAAACATATATAAGAGAAACTTAATATTTAAAAAAACATAATTCAAACGATATATACTGAATAAAATGTTTATATTTTTAACTTTTCAGAATTTTAATTTTTGTTTTAATAAAATATATAAAATAATGAAAAGAAAAGAAAACAAGAGAAAGAAAAAAAACTTTAAATAATCCATCTTCTTCCCCAAAGGAGCCAGCCAACCCCCAACCCTCCCCCCAACCCCCTCCCCAACCCCACCCCACCGAAAACCCATCCTCTTCTCCGCCATCCACCATCTATCATCCACCATTTCCGCCAGCTCTCTTCGCCGACCAAGAATTGAAGTTTGGAGATGGGAATTTCAAACAATACCTTCGCCGTTGGTGAATTCGATTTGATCAATTACCTCCATTGACGGCAGCTCCGTCAACTGCAAATCCATTCCCCAATCTACTAAACTCCTTTGGAGATGCCTCTTGGCATCTATATTGGAACTCTGAGAAGATGCAGATGGTGGTTGACAGTTGGTCTCCACACCGTCGTCGGAGAAGAAAAAGGGGAAAGAGGATTTTAATTAAGTTGCTAAAATTTGCGATTTGACCCAAAAATTTGTATTATTTATACTTAAATTCTATTGAATTTATGTTTATTATGAAAAAGATTTTAGGGGCATTTGAGACTGTTCAAGTCAAAAAACCATCAACAAGTCGCACAAAACGCGCGTACATCACACGATTTGCTGGTAGGGGGCGGGTGGCTTTGACTTGTGAACATAGGGGGGTAAGTGCTTATTATTTTTGCATAGGGACTTTTTCGGCAATTAGACGTATCACAGGGGTGCCGCTTGCTAAAAGCTCAAAATATAATAATAAAAGGGTTAATAGCATTTTCCCACCTAGACTTTGCCCGTTTTTGCACTTTCCCACCTCAACTAAAAAAAGTTGCACGGCGGCACCCAAACATTCATTTTTGACGCACATAACCACCTGGAGGGAATATTCCGGCGAATATTCTCATTTTTCAATGCATGCGCGATGCACATGCGAAAATACAAGGGCTTTTTCGTCTTTTTACTTGAAAATATTATAAGGGGTGAAATTGAAAGTACCAGGGACTCAATTGAACTTAATTTGAAACTTTCACAAGTTCCACCCATCATCTTCTTCGTCTCCCTCTTAATGTGATTCCTTAAATAATTTCATGTTCTTGACACTGACAATGCAGTTTAACCCCAGGCAAAAACAAATAGAAACTCACTACACATCAGCTATATTCAAAAGATTGATAATTCAGTTAGTGAATTGCACTTCCTCGAAATCGAAATAATTAATTGGAAAAACAAAAGCTGAAATGATTGACATATGATAATTACGTGGCAATTCGAGGTCGATGAAAGAGGACATATTCTCCGGGGAGGAGTGTGGGAGAGAGTATCGCATGATGGACTCCGACGAGAGGCCATTGGTGGTGCCGCAGAGAGCGCAGTCCCATGACCACTGATCCTGCTCGCAGTAGGTATTCATGTAATAGGCCCAGCAATTCTCGCATCGGGGCAACAGCTCCCCGCCGGAGCCGTACACCGGCGGGATGTCGTTCTCGTCCTTGGCTGCGAACGGCGTCAGCATCACGCCCCATGGCACGCCGCACGCCTCCTGCTCGATCGGGTTGCCCGGGAACCGGATCGTCGTCGGCGGTGGGCTGAAGAAGGACGAAGAAGATGATGGGT